AGAAGCCTGGCGCAGCTGCTGTATGAGCAGCCGAACACAGTCACTGGCTGGGACCACCAGAGACAGGGTTGGTAACACCTGAGCCCGTCGTTCGAAAATTTGAAGACCACCAGTGTCAGCTTCCTAAAATAGAAAGCTGATCCCTGAAGAGAATGGCCTACAGTGAGGCTAAATTTGTCAGTATTAGACAGAGAACAGTTTTATACCGAAAGGTTGAAGCACTCAGTACATGAGAACATTTTGAGTTCTTCAACCTAACAGTGGCATTTGCGCCGGCCAGTTTCGACAGTTTGGCCACCGATCAACATGCAGTGCTCCAAAATCCTCACTTTAGTGGATAAAAGTGGTTAAAAGTTGTACCTGCGACGACGAAAGTTTCAAAAGATGGATATCCACAGTAGGTCAGAGGGTATGGTGCTTGCTTATCTCGCCATTCATACGGGTGATCGGTTAGGTGAAGCAAACACCGTTAGCTTGATCTGTCTCGTCTATATTCAAGCCGCCCATTCCAATGTACTCCATCCATCTCAGAACTAATGTTTACCATCTGGTACATTTTGCGCTACTCGTTAACTCACCATCCAATTTGATAATGGTGTTCTTTGCACTGTATATAATTCAATTACTCAGCTATGGAACTAGGCTTACGTGTAATACGGGTCGAAATATAGTGCAGCGTTCAGTTCCAGATGACGAGTCTGTCTAGAGACTTTTGGAATGCGTACTTCAGATGATTACGAATCAGACAGGTCTGCAGTATTGCTTGGGTTTTCAGCATTGGCCCATCATTTCAGTTGCTGCATGAAATCTCAGCTGAACTGCATGTGACCAAAACTTCTCAACCCGGAGGTTTCCAACATGTGTCTGATATTCACCTTAGTGAGTTAAGCTAGCTCGAAAAATTGAAAAACAGTCGGTGGATTACCTGTAATTTAGTTGGTTCCCTGACAAGGTCAATGACGTGTAAACTGAACTCGTGTAAACTGAAGTCCACTTTGGAATCCGCGTGCACTGTACTGCAGTCAAATTCTGTTTGAATCGAAGCTATGGAGCACTCGTTATAGTCGAACGCTGGTACGGTTAATACATAAGACACCCCCATCATTGATGTGAAATCGTGAGATCTGTAACCAGTCACCTAAGAAAGTGACTTCCCGTTTGTTTCTTAGTCAACAAAAGCACTCATTTGCATATCATTTTGGAGCCTGGGACCCAGCCGAATCACTCGTTTAAGGTGTTTGTATGCATAAGGTTGACAGCAACTCGGGGAATGCACCTCAAGTAAGGTAAAACCGATCATGGGCTGCGTTTATACAAAATACATACCAAGTTCGCTGCGGCTCCATTGCTGTTGGTCGGTAGCTGACAGGACTCTTGAAGGCCGTGCTACTGGTCTACTCAAGTTGCACGGACTTTACACTTACTGTCTTCGCTGGCATGCTGAGAGCGAACATGTTTCTCGGCTGTCTACCCCCCCCCCTCCGTCCACATCAGTCATATCATATAGCAGCTCTCACTTTTGGCCAATCACCAATACGCGAACGTGACAGCAGAATCATTCGTGCGTCGACAGACAGCGGCGGCTGTCTGAGTGCGTGTCTAAGCGAAGCACTCACCGGGTCTCCTAGTTACTGAGCTGGCGACTCCGATTCCGATGCGCGCACTGTGTTGCACCAACACGAACTTCCCATTCCCCAGGTCACTTTAACGTCGCATCAAGAAACGCTGAAGTTACTGTCAGGGCAATTAAAAATTGAATTTTTCCCTAGACGTTCCTAAGTAACCCTGGGAGACTTTAAAATAGAAGAAGCATAGTTAACTATCACCGCTCCTCCGGTGTACATTTAGAGTGGCGCGGGGTAACCAGGCCATCCTCTGAACAGACGTGCTTGTTTCTTGTTATCTTGGCTGCATTGCGTCCAGATGGCCCCGCACTTGGCCAAATTCAGTGTTTGTGCTTGTGCCAACCTCGCGCAAAGCCCTGGAGGTGGATCGATGTGAAAGGCGAGCCCGCAAATGGATGTCGTTTCACTGAATGGATGGCTAGCCTGGCTGCCTTGTACATTCTCTGAATTAAACGTTCTCCCCTAGCTTCGAGAAACTACATGCCCTCAGAATTTGTGAGTATAAGTGGATAGACCTTCTTAAGGCAACCGCAATAACAGCAGCCATTGAACAACAGATTACAACAGTCCTGTCCAAGTACTGCCAAGCTGGAGCGACCCTAGAAGATCACAATATTGCCGGTCGCACGCACAAATAGTACCTGGACGCTTTTCGCATCCATACAGTGTGTGTTCATACAGAGTGTTAATGCCCCCAAACGCAACCCTCAGGAATCAGGAAGGCGCTTACGTGTGGCAGTTAAGACTGTGCGCCTTCGTCATCTTACCGTTCCCAAGAGATTAACTCAACACGTAGCCCCACTGCTCTTGATGAATGCGCTGAATTTGCATTATTTCTTCATCACCTTGAGCTGGGCGTGTGAACACGAAGCTGAGGACTGTTGTGGGATTGTTGTCCGGGGCGTCAGTTCATTCAGAAGAATTTCATAGTTCTATGCGAAGTGGGATATCCAGAGGTTAAACACTAGCACTATTTCAATAGTTTAACCGGGAAGAGTAACGTAAGACGTCTTGTGTGCTCCCTATCGTTTCCAATAGATAGCCACATCACTCGTATTTGTAACAGGTTCGCACGTTTTCTTCTCCATATTGCTTGTGTGAACCCGAACAGGGTATCACTGTTGGGGGCATCCATAGAAAAGCGGTATCACAATAAACCACGTGAAGCGGTTCTTTGTAGAGGATTTGCACTGACAAAGTTATGCCTTGTTAAGTGTAGATTTTACCCCTGCAACATACGGTGTTTACTTTGATGACCATCGAGGAATTGGACCAGCTTCATATTTACTATTCACATTTGTATTCGGGATTCAAAACATATCGACCATCCGGGAGAAAATGAATGTTTTAAATTCTAGTCCAGCTTAGACTTAACAAGACTACAAAAACTACTTAAGCACACATCGAAACGTAGTCCCAAAGTAAGTTCTCTGGCCTTTACAAGTACATGCATTGGTTTCTTATGTTAGTGGCTGGTGCTCAATCTAGAATTCCTTACCAAGTTCGGTTGCTTAGATGCCTAGGCATAAGTTAGACTTGGTCATTTCTAACGCTATTGTCGTCTACATTGAGGTCAAAGTAAGCGCTGTGTATGACGGAAACTTGCTGTAATATGACTGTTCTGTCCGGTGACCAAGGAAAGGAATTCGCATCTGATCTACAAATGCCCCGTGTACAGCACCCGCAAAACCAGAAGCCATAATCTAAGGGACATCCTAAAAAACTAGTAATCCGCTGTCGGTTGCTAACAGAGATCTCTGACGCAAATTTATTGCAACCGTACGGTTTGTCATTTGTACTGCTAAGAAAACGTTTCCTCTATCATCACTTGCTGAAAAAATCACCTCAGGAAACCGATCAAAAGTAGTGCTCTTTCAAGACTATCCCTTTCAATGGGTCTTACCTGTGAACTGCACTCTAAGGGATCAGCCAAAGGTGGTTTCTATTAAATATCCTATCTAGAGAAAAACAACTGTAATACTGCCCAGCGTCACAATAAACAAAAGCTCTCAACTATGGTAGGCCTGCACACCTGAACTTCCTCAATCTTGGGTAAAACTAGACAAAATTGCCATGTACCTATAATGTCGATAAGATACTTACCCGGCATTTCGTTGGCAGGAGTTGGTCAGATGCAGTGGACAATTGATGCCAAATTTTGCCATTGACGTCGTATTAGCGCCGTAGTCTTTTCACGAATCACTCTTCAAATAACTTCCTTTGCTGTCTGATACAATTTTTCATTCAGAAAATGAAAATATCCCGAAAATTTCAGTCGTTGTTTGGAGTCCCTTCAAGTCCGCTTGTTCTACGGTTTAGTAAATGAACGTCAACTCAGTTTGCCCTCGATTTGATCCGCATTTTCTCCGTTTGTATCGCAGGAAGTTCACATTGAGCAGCTTGTATTTAGGGAGTATATATCCGTTTCCGCCACTGATATGTGCTTTTTTGGACGAAAAGCAATGTATTTTCAATGATGTCTCAAGTCTGGTAGCTGATTCACGCAGTTGGTTTCCCTGGTTATCATGGCTGCTTGTTAAACCTTTGATGGACTCGCCGTTGCGCCGTGTGCCGTTGAATAATTCGTGAAGATGCAGAAACTCTTCGACGTTGTACGATCACATGGAAATGATGTAGTCTACACTATCTAGTACAGCCTATGTGTTTTACATTCAACATAGGGTAAACCAACAACTTTTTCAGCTTCATTTATGCTGATGCATAAAAACGTATTTTTCAGGATATCTTTAACACCAGTGACACTTAATTACGGATAGTAAACCGAAATAACCTAAACAGCATGGGAAAAACTACAGTGCTTCCCCGCTTAAGCGACCATCTTTAATGAACAGCGAAATAGTTCGTTATAAGGAGGGTGATTCCCATGCATTATATGTCGACTGATTACGCACACTCGCACCTCTATCCCACCGGAGAGAAACCACTGTTACCGGTGTTTTGTTTCAACTCTGGGTTGAATAAATGCATTGCTAACGCTTGGAGCGATGATCTGCGAATGCTATTCACAGAATAATTCAGGTATGCTGAGCAGTACTTTGGGATTTTTCCTCCCGTTGCTCAACCATGTGGAGATGATCGCTGGAAGTGAAAACAGAAAAATAGCAGCAATGATGAGGGTTCCTGTTTCATGGAGAGATGCCTTCCCCATATAGCACGAAATTATTGTTGGATCTGATACTTTCGTGGAAATGTTGTTATCAAGAGGGCAGTCACTACAGAAAGATCATCGCATTAAGGGAGAAGCACGGTAGTTTTAAAACTCTTCCTAGGAGAAATCAGTCACGTCAGCTGACAATGTATTGAACGCAATATAACACAACATCCCAACCCAAGGCCCAAACATTTAGGACTTACTTTGGTAGACAGCAATTTGATGGCCTCGTAACCAAGCTTGTCCGGATGTAAGCGTGTGCGTTTGTGCAGCAGATCTTTCACGCCACCAATAAAAGAACCATCCCAGTGTACAAACTGAAAATCTTGCAGTTCCCTCACTCGTTTCAGCTCTGCGACAATCAATTTTGATATTTTCTTTAGTATTTCTTTCCCATCTCCGCTGAATCTGTCGATCCACTTGTTTTCAATCTCGCAGATACGACGGAACAGTTCATCGTTTACGTCATTGCCAAGAGTAATTAACTTCCATGGAATCATACTGGTTAGTATTGTGAAAAGAAAAGGACCTGGTGCCTCCGCCTTCAAAAAATTCAGATCGCTGATTGTCCGTTGAATATTCGTCTCATTGCAGTCCCCATTCGTATAATGTTCTTCGGTGACTTTTTTCGGTAACTGGATGGGGAATAGTGACAAACAGCAATGTAAAATGTGATAAACAGTGAGTAAATTGGCCTACATTTTTCGACAATGCTTGGAAATGTAGTCAACATTACGTCCACAGATATTTTCAAATCAGACAAACGGTGGGCTTATAAAATCTACTGTATCGCACGTAGTGGTCAAGAAAACCTTCTTCAGTTACAACTAAACGCGAGAATTGCAGGACTTCACCCAAACTGAAATTTTTAGCCTTTTAAAGAGAATGATATCTTTGTGGTCAGTACTCATTTCATGTTTTATAGGACAGTGAGGCAATATCGAGTTAACAATTCGAGTCGAGCATATGTATTCAGACATTACTTTGTGCACTGTCGCCTGTCATGGGAAGAGCTTCATGCTTTACCTTATACATCCGAATTAAACTCATGTATTCAAACCGACGAAATCACACGCCTTCATTTCGTCAAACCTGCTCTCATTGGATCCTCGATGGATCTGGTCATTATGTCCAAGGGATATCTTGCCAAAGAAAGCTGATGTCCCACTAATCTCACATAGTAAACAAAGTCATTGAGGGAAACTACTCACAAGCTTGCTGAAAACTCTTCGACAGCCCACGACCGGTTTCGCCCTCCTTGGAGCTCATCAGGTGGGCGCAGCCCCGAGTTTCCATCAACCCCACGTTCTACTTGAATTTCGAGAGTACAAGATGGGTATATCCTTCCACATGAATAGAGTGAAATCCAGTCCAGACAAAGATCACACCAGAGCGACGTACTAATATATTCACCAAATCAGTTTCATCAGAAGCTCCACCATATTTTCCGGCTAGACGTTTATAAAATTCCACGCAAAAATCGCTGAACACAAGTGCTGTGTACGATCCACACCTAACGCACCACCTGCAAAACCATAAGACTTTCACCGGGCGTCGTTCGCAGAGTCTAATAAGCCACACCGCCTAGGTATGAAAACGTTTGCTTAGCGATTTGGGTGTATCTAGTGCGTGCTGCTGGACCACCAGGAAGCGAGCGGCTAGTACCTCAACAGACTCACTTTCAAATGAAAGATTCCCCTAATCGCCCATACTTACACATAGTCAACGGAATGCTGAATTTGAGGGTATGTTGAAATTTCTGTTGGCTAAATGTGGCTGGGCCAGATGATAAATAGCGAAAGTCCGGGTCAACAGAGTACGCTGACAATACCGTCCTTTCATGTTCACAGAACAAGTGAAGGTGGATTTGGGCTGTGTGTGAAAATGTTTAAATATCATGGAGTAAAACTCGAAGAAGTGTGCTTTGGATCTTGAAACCTCTTGTTCGAAAGACTGAATTTGAGTGCAACTAAAAGTGACGGTCTCACGGTAATACCATACTTCTCCTCCAATGCGCCAAGGCTTGTTACAGCCGTGGAAGTGCACTGACCCTGAATTCTCCGAAAGAGGAACTTAAATCCTGTAACTTCTCCCAGTGTAGTTTAGTTGAGATATTCATCTTAATTCAACTGAAAAGACAGTACTTGTCGTTTTCCTTACAGATGGTCCTACGACCAGACAGCCACCACCACTGGGCCTGACAATTTTTCATACCCAGTTGCGACAATGAATGGTCGTACGTCACTCCGCTTCCTGGCTTCTCTCCTTTACAAGGATGGGTGAATTATAGTACTACTATCAATCGGTAGACCGAAACACAGCTATCATACGAACGTGAGTGTGAGAAACAGCCTACAAACCTGTCGGCCTAGATGCATGAGGCCACATCGCTTGTTCCACACAACAAAAATGAGGGTTTGCTGTACCTGGCCCTGCTACTGTGTTCCAGGTTAAAGTTGTTTCAGTAGTTCGGTAGTTCGTGCTCATATACAGCGCGTCTCACAGAATAGGGGTCGTTTAGGCAGGCCCTCGCAATGCAGGACTGGTGAAATTGTTCTCTATGATTGGTCGCACAATGCTAGCCTACATCTTCTTAAAAGCAATGCTGACGAAACAAGGCATGAGCGCTCGCTCTTGTGTACCGGACAGTGTTTTCTGACCTACTGAATTCCAGAATTTCACGTTGCTGTTCAGTGTGTTCAGCTCTCAATTTCCGCATTTTAAAATTCCCTTATGTGTAAGATTAGGAACCAAGCGCCTTCACAGTGTTCTCTACTGAATCACTGCGCATTTTGGTGGGCGACCGCAATGGCTAAAGAGCCCAATTCACAGCTGCAGAATTTGTTGTTGGTCGTTGGCTTGTTCGCTGAGCTGGGCAGTTTGGTTGCAAACGTTTCATCACCAATCGAGGTGACATCATCAGTGCGTAGTTGTATGTAGCGGTGGGTTAGTGGTTGTGCGTTCAGCAGTGTTACGTGTGTGTTGATATACGTGCTGGTAGCCGAGGATGACCTTTGACCGCGATTAGTTATTCCGTCGGGCGGTTCCATTGGTTGTTCTTTTTATCCCGTGTCCTCATTCGCCGATGCCCACGTGACTTTTGAACTTGACATCCCTCGCCGTCGTAGTCTAGTCGATGTTGGAGTGACCTTTGTCCTTCCGAGTTCCGGTTGTGACCTCATTGATTTGACTCCGAGGAGTTCCTTGTTTCTTCGTTTGTGAATCCATTATTTGGTCCTCCTTGAGTGTTTCGGTTGCGATGTTGATCTCTCGCACGTTGAGGTGCGTAAATTGGATCCAGTTCGGTGCACCGGTTGATTGAACCTGCAGTAGAGTACCATGCCTCCAGAAATTCTCTTCCATGTGGCGTGTCTCCGTATGCCAGATTGAATTTGTGGTCTTCCTGGATATCAAGGACAAGGGGTCATGCCTCCTGACAGCCGCGTTGTGTTCCTTTATTCGTGTACATAATTTTCTCCCAGTTTGTCCAACGTAGAATTTGTTGCAGTCGTTGCAGTCGATTTGGTATATCACATTGTTCCTCTTGGTTTTGTGCCGGTTGTTCTTCGCTCTAGAGATTAATTTCCTTAGAGGAGCACTCGGTTTGTGGGCCACGAAGATTCCTTTTTGCGCCAATAATCTGGTTGCGAGTTCTGATATATTCTTGATGTAAGGTAGGACTACCCGTCCGGTGGCTTGTTCTTGCTGTGGCTGTTGTTGAGATGTCTTCTTCTTTAAGCTTCTCTTGATGAAACTCCATGGATATCCATTCTTCTGAAACACTCTGCATAGATAGTTTTACTCTTCTTCCGTAGCACTCGGTTTGTGGGCCACGAAGATTCCTTTTTGCGCCAATAATCTGGTTGCGAGTTCTGATATATTCTTGATGTAAGGTAGGACTACCCGTCCGGTGGCTTGTTCTTGCTGTGGCTGTTGTTGAGATGTCTTCTTCTTTAAGCTTCTCTTGATGAAACTCCATGGATATCCATTCTTCTGGAACACTCTGCATAGATAGTTTTCCTCCTTCTTCCGTAGTTCTGCGGTGCTGTAGTGTGTCTCCACCCTCTTGAACAAGGTTTGGACGCAGCTCTTTTTTTGTGGTTTACTGGATGATTGCTGTTGTAGTTCAGTATTTGGTCCGTATGAGTCTCTTTGCGGTATACGCAGGTTTCCAGAGTCCCATCCACCTTTCTGTTCACTAAGACGTCCAGGAATGGTAGCCGGTTGTTTCTTTCCAGTTCGATTGTAAACTTGATACCTTCAAACGCTGTGTTGAGCAGTTCATGTGCATCGTGTACTGAGTCCCGTTTCATGATGAGTCCCGTTTCACCATGAGAAAGTGGGCGACCCCTATGTAACATTCTGTAAGTTCCAATAAGGACAATATTCCTTGTGTGTTGGAGCTTTTCGAGATTAAGCAACTGATTGTATTCCAAATCCATGGGTTAGAATTTATCGGTCGTTTCAAGAAATTCGATTAATATTCATATAAATAGAATTGTTTATCCCCAATCAGCAGATCGTAACCGGTACTTGACCCTATTCTACAACTTTTCTCCCGTAAATTTCTAATTTTTGAATACGAGTTCTTCAACCGCATTTTGTGAATTAAGCCTACACGTACCGTAGGGAAGCACCATTAGAGCGGGTGTCAGGGATAGGTTCGTACAAAGAACATATCCACAGAGCAGAACATTTTGCAGCAGGTTACTTTTTTTTGAAAATTCAAGCGTAACTGTCACAAGCGGGATGAAAAAGCAAACCTTTAAGAATAGGGTAAACAAGAGGAATTTTTAGTATACAACACCTCATAAATTAGTGCTAGGTTATACTTAAAGGAAGCGATGTTACCGCGTTACTTGTGTTAATTAAGACATTATAAGTCTGTATACATTCATTCCGAAGTTTACAATCAGCTGGTAGTTTTTTGACTGCGATCCGTAGTCCTTTTCCAAATCTTGTACATATTTACTACATCGAGGACAAGTCTTGCATTTGGTTCTCACAAAATTTCAACAATACATGAGTCTGATTTTCATCCGTCGTAAAGTCAAACGTAATGTCAAATGAGTGACACAAGTACTACAGCACAGAGGCGCGAAAGTTCGTCTGGCAATCGCACCTCGCTCACTTCCATTTAGTTTTCTATTGAAAAACAGATACATCTGAATGACTTAATCTCACACAACAACGTTCGATAATGATGCCCGAACCGTAAGAAGAACCCATAAGACTGTGGGGCAAAAACTAAAGGAACTGGGATACTTCAAATTTGTCATTTTGTAACATTGAGTAATTGACACCATTTTCAATTAGGACAAATGGAGTAGAAGTGCTTGGATGATGCTCTTATTAATTTACTGGCGGTCAGCAATTTTCTGGTTGTTTCAAAGTATATTTCAAAATACTCCCGGTTCGTAAAGCCATTTTAACCTGTCCAATTCTCATACAAAACTCTCGATGATGACACTGATCACCGTCAGCCTATCAGACTTTATACAGTGTAATAGTTCCTTCGATGAGACGACCTCAGCGGAAGTCAGCTAGTTTGGCGTGAGATTTCATCCCCATTATTTAACAGTTGAAGTGATGCTTCCTTCCTGAGCTCCAATCTGACACATGCTTCAGGGCCAGCTGTTTTAGGGTGAATACACCTCATAAGTTTTGAAGGTATGAACAGATTCGTTTGTAGTCAACTCAAGAGAATCTTCTGATATCTGCAGAACTTTGACCCAGTATCCTTATACAAGAATACAAGTACCCTCCCAACCTGCGAAGAGAAGAATGACCCCACCGAATTTACATACAAGTAGCACCACAAGTATGGGAGTACGAATATAGGTGGAGCAAAGACGTAGTTACCTTAAGGATGGCTGAAAATTTAAACCGCTTGCCATGAGTGACATTTAAGAAGGAGCAAAGGACGTCATTGACCAAGAGGTTGGTGGATTTACAATGCGTCGTCCACTTAGACATCTTATGTATCGGTTGTCTGTCGAGACTGATGCTCTTTCTAAGCACGGGGCTCTATCTCCCAGGCAGCTCAGAACTGATCTGTCGGTCCAAGAGTCAGTCGTGTTTTCCATGACCTTGAATTGACAGAGCCGTTATCGGAGTGCGATAAATGCTATCATCTCCCAACGCCCATCTCCTGCCCTGTTCTCTTTCTAAGCTATCCGTAACAGTATTCATTTTTCCGCATCTGTTTTTGTTCACAGCGCGTGAAATCTTATGTTTTCTTAGCTTTCTCACATTCATTTACAGTTTTAAGTTACAAACCCCTATAGCCGTTTCTGTCGGCGGTGTTTTGCTGACTTCTGGTGCTTACTAGGTATCATAACAGTAACTACGAACTGGTAATTTGTATGACATTACATGTGGAATATTTTGAATTCCTGATAACCTTTGCCGTTAAAATAATCACTGGCAATCTCAGACTACCTCGATTTCCACCAACCTCAGAAGCATGTACGTCAGTAGCACCATGTTTTTCTGCCAAGCACACATCCGTTTTGTTGACATGACATACTACTCGCACACGTTACTGTTAGACAACGGACAACCGGTTCCGTAAATTAGCGTTTTGTCAAACACATCTGTTAGTTGTAATCGCTGTTCACAAAATAGCATCATCGGTGTATTTGCACTGGGTGAGAAAATCAGGGGGTTAAATTTTGCTTAGGTACAGGGGAGAGGAGGAGACAGTGCCCTGAGGGACACTGATATTAATCAGCAATGGAGAAGGTCAGGTTTGACTTATAGATTTCAAATAGCTTGACCGAGTTTTGTTTACCTCCCGCTTCACTGAAAGCTATAGTAACCCTTATCTTCCAACACTAAATAAAGGTTAAGTTGATCAGCAATACAGAAGATGATTGGTCACCTACGCTTGTTATTAAGTCAGTTTTAGGGGATAGCTTTCAAGTAGCTTGACCGGGTACTGTCTATCTCCTGCTTCACTGAAAGCTACAGTGTCCCTCATTTCCGAACGCTAACAACAGAGCAAGTTTAATCATCTATTAACACCCCTGCATCACTAGTTTTCTGTATATGGCTCGACTGATGAATTGAGAGTGCAACAGCATTCACTGTTTTGAGACGAATGAAATGCGAATTGGTAAGAGTCTTGGTCCAACAGGATACCTTGCACTCTTTCAAACATTTTCAGAAGAACGGAGGTACAAATGACTGACCTGGAATCGGTCTATTTCTTTCGGTACCGATGCTATCTTAGCCACTCGGCAACTGTTAGGGATCTTTCCACTGGAAGGAAAATTAGTAGGTAAAACAGACCTTGGTTCGTTAAGAACGCCAGCGCACTCTGCCTGAATTCATTTGCCTCACTTCTCATACTATCTATGAGAGCCAACCGACAGATGCCCCGTGTAGATCAGGGCTACAAGAAAAACACTTTGATCATTCGTCGCACAGCTGTTTTAAAGTCCATCGCGGTAACTCTCATTGCCCAAAAGCATATTGAAAAAGATTCTACTAATCCGGCTGACTTTCAATTTATTTGCGTGAGCACTGGCTTCCTGTTTTGTTAGGTTAATCCTTTCACTTTCGGAGAACAGAATTGTTAGCGTTGACATGGCTGGTCTCAGTAGGGCAGACTAAATCAGAACGAGCTGGGTTGGTGGAACGAAAGAAAAAATTGACCATATAAACCGTATTATATAGTGAAGAGCACTGTTCTCTTAGCTTATAGGAAGTTTTCCACATCTAAGCCTTCTTTAAGTGTATCTTTCGGAGCAGCCTGAAAATACAGTGATCAGAAGAGGCGAGTGAGGTACGTCTGTTAGCGGCAAGCGTATTGTCTCCCATAGTATACATGGTACAGTGGAACCTCCGGCGGTGTTGAGAAAGCCACATTATTGTTTGAACCCGGGGATCAAGTAAAAACCATCAGACTTAGTTAAGTCGATGAAAAGTGCACAAAAAACCGAACCAGGGAAGTTGTATTACCGCACCAGAAGAGTCAACAAGGTCAGACAGTTTTCGAACTACAATACTAGGTGGGATATATATACAGTTCTCTTGGAATACTGCACATCCATTATTTTCATGTTTTCGGGTGAGCTTGTGAGGAACAAACAATACTAGAGAAAAATACATTCGTTTTGGACAAGTGCATTAGGGTGCAAAGATCAGTGTAATACCTTTCCAACATTTGCCTATGCCATGACCTAATTTCGTCTTCTTGGAACCCAAAATTTAGTTATCCTGTAAAACGTAGGATCTTTGGCAGGGGAGAGGCACTGGGGTTTGCACAAAGAAGTGGCAACTGTCCACCAACAGACTTTTTCCAACTAAGATACACAAACAACAACGCAGCGTGTAGGAAACAAGGTTTCTTGACGTCATTAAGATGTGCAGTTATTGATGAATGTAACGAGAATTTCAGTGAGACTCCAAAGATCGCTAGCAGTTCGTGTGACTGACCCCCAAGGAACCCTTTTTATTCGCTACCGTACTGATGAACGCTACTGCCAGCTGTCTACAGATCTTACAGCTAGTGAAAATTACAGATGTATACGAGGCCTTGAGTGGATGCCTTTTTTCAGGTCCACCGAAGTGCCATTCAAATACGCAGATGAATCGAATTCCTCCTGGCAAAGTTTATCGCAAATAATTCCACCATCGATGAAGTTATCTACCAGCACGTCATTCCAATTGAAGATTTCCATGAACCTCTCGTAATAAGCCTTTATAAGTATGTGTACAATGAGTGATTAGTAGGACACAATTTTCTGACGTTACCAGAAACCATTAAAATCTCGTACTGATTTTACCGAGCTCCCTTGCATTTGCTACGTGCAACTTCAGAGCCATTACTGCATGAGTGAACCTAGTACGATAACCCTAAATCTTGCATTCTCTCTGTACCTCTACTAGCCAAAGGCATAAAGGAACTTGAAGTGGGGAGTATCAACCACCTCACTGACTGCCAAATCTCCCAGTCATTGCCTCAAGAACTAAAGCGTGTGGACAGGCACAGAGACCAGGAAGCTGCTCCTGTCGACGCAAAATGCTATCCAAGTTAGGCGCTAGTGGCACATTCAATACAAAACTACCTGTCCATACCTAATCAGAAAGCAAAGCGGTTTGAAAGCAAACTTGGTGAGAGCTAGTACCGCTCAGCTGTTCCATAGTTGCGTTCAACAAGCAAAGCCACAGCCTGCTTCTGCCTAGTTTCTTTTGGGAAATTTGTTGATTTTATAGTGAAAAAAAACAGATCTCGCACCAAATGTTATCTTGCCTTAATTAAATGGATAGTGAGATATGCTGGTTTTTATACTTGATTTAGGATGGAGTACCATCTTAGCTGCACCTTGGTTAAGGCATTTTTATGCTAAGCATTTGAAATCCCGTCTTCTATAAAAATGTCGTGGCAGCGAAGCGTTAGACTGTGTAATACAATGAGGCTCAGACTCACTACAAATGGAAGTAAGCCACTTTCAGTTTCATGGCCACATGGAATGCCATCCAACTCACTTCAATGTCATGAGGATTTCTCAGTTGTCCTAATATGATGGTGAAAATCTCCCGCATGTGTCCCACCAATGTATTCCAAGTGCCCCACTTTTCACGGGATGGGTGTTACTTTTCAAAGCCAGAATAATCAATACTCTACTATATTGATTTGAGTCAGTCAGTGAATCACGTGCCAACACTGCTGCCCAGTCAGTCTACATTCATCACTCTGAAGAAAAGGTTAACCACTCAGGGTAGGTAATCCAAAGACTGTCTTTCTTATCCATCTTATAAGTCCTTTTCAAACTTTGAGCGAAGCCTGACCTTGCAAGTGAAGTAAAGGTTAGCGGAAGAGTTTAGAAGCCCTGCACAGATGTTTAATCCTTGTTCTAGACTGTCAACAATGTATATCTCACATATTTCCGCGGAAATACGAATCCACGTTCTCAAGGAGCCTACCTAAGTGAGAGTTCAACGCCTATCAGGTACTCATGTCCGGATGTGCGACCACTTGCCAAAAACTTGGAGATGCGATTTGTCTGGAGATTCTTAAGATGTGCACTGGTAATAATTCCTAATAAGGAGGGAGCCATTGCACAGTGCTTTTCGGACTTTTCAGAATAAATCTATTTCACTTTTAGAGTGAAATTCTTCTTACTGTGATTTCACCCCAAACGACAGCTTATGTGGATCAGCGACATCTCAAACTGGAGACGAATGGAGTGTCTGAACTTGCTGCTGGATTCCATTTATTGGCACACCATCAGCGACCAGCCAGAAAGAACCCATAAACTAGAACCCGTGAATTGTCTGTGGAGTAATAGTCCAACCATCCGCGGTCTATCCCCACAGATGTGATTACTTATCAAAAGCGGATTCAGATAAGAAGCAAGGGAAATGGACAGTACATGTGGTACTGCATTCAAGATCCTCCTTTAGATTCAAGTTGATATGCTGTTCCGATCTTTGGTTTCATATTCTGTATAAAATGAAATAATTTATCCACGCTGACAATACTCAAAAAGCAGTCATAATCGGTTTGATTTCATATGCCACGCACCTCTTCCATGTTTTTTCATCGACAACTCACACCTATCGTGTGGTGTCTTGGACAGCCTTATCGATCTGAAAAATACCACAGTTAGACGATAGACAGTTCTAGGTGATCCCTCGGTGGTATCACAGATCACCCCATTGAACCCTCTACGGTCTAGATGAATTCAAGTAACATGTAAACATAGGCTGCAAGAATAGTTCATTCCGCAGTTGCATATCAACTTCTTTTTCTGACAGGAGACTCACCTGAAACCAGCCTAATCTCTCGTTTATTATGTTCTTAAGCAACTGAGTGTGCTGCACCTTATGTTTCACAGAGAAACCGCGGCAAATTGTATAGACGTGATACATCACTCATAAAGCTGCTGAAAACTCTTCGGCACCCGACAAGTGGCTTCGCTCTTCTTCGACCTCGCCACGTGGGCGCAGTCTACGAGTTTCCGTCAACCTTATGTTCTACATGAACCCAAATTGAACGAAGTTTGATTTATGCATTCATTTGCACATCAGTTTGGTTTGGACGGGAGACTCACCTAGAACTCAGCTGAAGCTCACTTTTCTCCTGTTCGTATGCGCCCCTCTGATGAGCCCCAAGGACGGAAGTGGTCATGGCTGTCGAAGATCAGTTTGGTTTGGACGGGAGACTCACCTAGAACTCAGCTGAAGCTCACTTTTCTCCTGTTCGTATGCGCCCCTCTGATGAGCCCCAAGGACGGAAGTGGTCATGGGCTGTCGAAGTTCATTCAGCAAATTTATGAGTAGTGTATTACGTCTATAGTCCTTTCCAATTACTACCTATTTTCCGATTCGAATAGCAAATTACGGTCGATCCACCCGTCCATGTCATCCACCGTACCTTGGGTGCTCTTTCAGACTTGGAACAAAATATTTGGATGCGGCTACCTCAGTGATTCTTAACGTCTAAATCGGCATTCAGCTTTTCCGTTTAAAGTCTTAAGTTTGCGTCCTTGTACAGAATTTCGTACTCTTGGTTTGTATTTCTTCGGGTCAAAAATTCAACCTGTCCCGGGGCAAAGATTTTTCCTTTGATCGATAACCTAACGAGGATAATCAATCTGCTATTCCTCTCCGTTTAACTTAACCGCAAAAGGATGGTTCAGTCCGACCCGATGAACTGGAGGTCTGTATTTTCGTCAAGTTCGAACCTGATACCGCACAGCGATTCCTATTTTATTCCCATACATCCTACAGGTCGTGTGGTCGAGTTCTTTTCTACCATCAATTCGTCCTTATCAGACACCCTTCTTCATATCCATCCTCTGGGTATCTCAGACGCTTCTTTACTGTTCTTGATTTTTCAAATCACTATCTTACTTTGTCGAATTCATATCTTCCTCGAAGGCTCACCTTGATTCGTGATTGGTGTCTAACAAACACAGCAAACTTCACGCATCCTACTTCACCCAGATGCCCAGGCGATCTCCACACACTTCTATAAACCTTTCTGGTCTGTCGGATTCGGTCTCTACGATATTCGAGATATCGCGATACATATGCATTTGTGATGCACTACTCATAAGGTTGCTGAAAATTTTTCGACAGCCCACGACCAGTTTCGCTCTTCTCGAGGCTTATCAGGTCCCCATCAACCTTATGTTCTACTTCGGTATATAAGTAAAGTTGAAAATGGCTAAAGTTAAGGAATTCGCACCAACCGGTTATAAAGTTTACTTGGACAACTGACCGAAAAGAAAAGTCACTTGAATTCATTTTCGCTGTGCACACAACTGTTGTCAGTAGCCACTCGGTCTTCACTTTAGGAATACTGTTGACCAAGGCGGTGTTCGACTGGTCTTGCTTGATCCTGGCAATATCTCCTAATTGGAATCCTCCTCAAGGAGACGATGTTAGGGCGAACAGGGTTTAGTGGTAAGTCTTTGCTGCATCTTTTGTTAAAAATTGGTTCATACTATACATCAGGTGATATTTTTTGGAGATAAGCTGTTGTGAAATTTATCGTCCCTTGTATGTTTATGGTAAACAATTTTGGGGACAGAACAGTGCTTCAAAGAGAGGATGGCAGTTATTTAAAGGATCTGTAAAAGGGTGAGTGTAGACAAAGTTGTTCTTTTAGAAAACGATGCCCTACAAGATCCCTTGATGTACTGATTGCTGGTGTTCGGATGTTGCGGGCGTTGGGAAATCACAGTCATGGTTGCATTAATTTCATGTCCACATGTTAGTGTTTGCACTGTGTTTCGAATTCCGATGCAATAGTGCCCTGTCTGTACGGCCTTCTTCTCAGAGGCAGCTTGTTTTGACCTGAATAGCTAATTGTCGTTCAGTGATTTAGACAGCATCTCAATTTCGGATGAAAAAACTGTCTATGAAGGACACGGAAGCTGCGATCAGTGGCACCTACCAATGATTTGCTCTGAGGTACTCACACACAGTACTCAGCTATACGAAAAATGCTGGTGGGATTTGTCCCTGTTACGGATCCACCTTAAAAGTTCATGAAATTTAGGCTCAATATCCCTCCCGGCCCAGAGTGGCCGAGTGCTCTCGTTGTAGGATTTGATTTGAGGTGAACCACTATTTACAATGACCCTCGAAATTTAGCTCGATTGACCGCACATCAACGGAGTCATTATCTTAAACGCAACAGTACAAATTCAGTTGTGTTGCTAACACGGATGCTAACAGGGCAACAGATCACTCACTGACGCGACCACGCGAACTATATTGGGCCTCACATCCTGAGCCTCAAGTAAGGTGAATTTCGTCCCTACCTACCTAGGGTCGTAGAATATCGTTCTGTCTGATTCATTCAGTTGTATTCCGAGTAACAATTGTTCTCAGTTAGTCCATCGTCTAATGAGTAAGCCGGTAGAGGACGATCAGAATTGGCTGGAGCAAACGGTCATGACGGTAAGGATCAGGTCAAGCGGACCGTAACTGTTATGTCCTATATCGGCAACACATGCTCAAGATCCAATGTTTTGGATTCTGTGTGATCCAAATAAAGAGGCGAACGCACAGTAACCTGGTTAGAGCGTAAGAAAACTGATCACGGTGAGATTTCGGTTTTACTGATGAGGCTCGTAAATATTCTTGGCATCCCACTCGCGATGATTCATGGTGCGACTGCAAACCCGTGTCAGTAGTGTTATTGTTGTCGGTTTCTCTCTGCATTGTAACAGCGTTCAGAGGTTAAGGAACCTGATATTTCTCGAAAGTTCTGAACCCTAGAACTTTTATTTTACCGGACAGAAATATCCATGTATTTTATTATAACTGCACTGCATTGAAGCTTGGTTGATCGGCAGTGTCGCTGGTGAACTTGTTAATGATATGTGTTGGGAACACCTTACATCGGCCCCAAATGTTTAGCAAATACCTGCATGGAAACAATTCTGTACCCGGGATGGCTCACTGATCAAGGCACATACTACATAGTCTGTCGTTAGAACCTGATTTCTCTTTCAAGGATCGTTGATGTCTAAGTTTACTGGTATTACTGGCATTATCTTGGCCCTCGTGCTTCCTTCGAGTCACACCGAAGCTATGCACCGGTAGGGCGCCATATCCAAAAAGTGTGTAAAGTGTAAAACGATGAATGCGTTGTGAGACCGATTATTACTACGCTTAAACATTTTCCCACTGCACGGAACGCCTCTAATCAGTTTTCCCCTGGCAGATACTTTATCAAAAAAAGACACATCACTACTCCCAAAAACATACTTTGAAAAACAGACTTTCCTAACGTAGAATTCAAAACTTGTATTTCTGGGTGGAATCGTCAAAATAAGAGACGTTGAAAGTGGTGTTCATCATTCGAGATGTTAAAAATTCACAAAAATGTGATAGCTCATTGCAAACTGAGTGGTTCAAACTGTCTGTTCACCACACGTGATGAGAACTGAAAGGGCAAGTGATGACGCAAACTTCATGTGGATGTAGAAAAGCGAAAGTGAACCGTTCTGTTCAAAGTAAGTCCAGTTGGGTTTTTTATCGATCTTTGAATCTATGACTTGTAACGGATGAAACCAGCAGTTTAGTTGCATCTCAGTTCATTTCTGTATTTCCACTTGATCCTCAACAGTTGCATCCTGAAATTGTTGGTATTCGCTTATCAGGTCGTCCATATTTGATTCAGCCTCGCTAAATTCCATCTCATCCATACCTTCACCTGTGTACCAGTGCAAGAACGCACGCCTCCGAAACATGGCGACAAACTGTTCACCAACACGCTTAAAGATCTCTTGAATCGCGGTGTTGTTTCCAATAAACGTGACTGACATTTTCAGGCCCCTTGGGGGAATATCGCAAACAGCCGTCTTCACATTATTTGGTATCCATTCCACAAAATAGGCGCTGTTTCTGTTCTGTACGTTCAACATCTGTTCATCAACTTCCTTCATCGACATCCTGCCTCGGAACATAGCGGCCACTGTGAGGTATTTACCGTGTCTTGGGTCACAGGCGGCCATCATGTTTTTGTTGTCGAACATCTGGTGTGTCAGATCCTGAACCGTGTTGCTCCGATAGGGCATCGAATGCCGGCTGGTGAGAGGGGAGAAGCCGGGCATAAAGAAATGAAGCCGTGGAAACGGTACCATATTAGTAGCTAGCTTTCGCAAATCTGCATTCAGCTGTCCCGGGAATCGTAGGCAGGTGGTAACTCCGGACATTGTTGCACTCACGAGGTGATTCAGATCCCCGTAAGTAGGTGTGCTCAACTTAAGTGTCCGGTTGCAAATATCGTAAAGCGCTTCGTTATCAATGCAAAACGTTTCGTCGCAATTTTCAACCAATTGATGAATGGAAAGTGTTGCATTGTATGGTTCAACCACAACGTCAGACACCTGGATAGAGAGACAATGTGATGTTCGTCAGTTGGGGCCAGGAGGTAAAAGAACCGCTATATTTACTGAATGGACTAGTTCATATCAAAAGCGGACAAGCCAAAATGAATCACCGCTACCACCTCCCTCTGTGCTGAGAATTGCCGCCCTTAATTCTGGAGACCGGAGAAGATTTGGGCTTCATTCATGCTATTGACCGAAGTGGAGTTTAATCACAAGTACTTCAGTTGAGCGAAATCTGTCACGTTATCCTACTTGCCGGTCTAGCTAGTCAACCGATAGCCAAGTTATGTTTTGAGTTTATGAACAGCGTAGTGTGTAACCGTGGGGCACCTCTTCATTGCATACCACTAAGTTCTATACATCTCGGGGCAAATACTGCTGTGACCTTGGATCAGCTAACGCAGGTGTTTAGTAATCGTGTACGTTGCCGAGACATTAGTATGCTCATGGAATTGAGATGCAGATCACAGGTTACACAAATATTAGGGATCAAACTACGGTAGGCTGACAGAATAACAAGCTTTAGCTGACCTTCGGAGAAGGGACAGTTGAGAAACTGCACACCACTCGATCAGGAAATTCCTCACGAACTTTGTTGATCAAAAGCGTGCCCATTCCAGCCCCAGTGCCACCGCCCAATGCGTGTACCACTTGGAAACCTTGCATACACTCGCATAATTCAGCCTCTTTGCGCACCACCTCTAACACGTTGTCGATCAGCTCTGCACCGTCGGTGTAGTGTCCTTTGGCCCAGTTGTTCCCCGCACCGGTGCTGCCAAACACATAATTGTCCGGTCGAAAGAGCTGCCCCACCGGACCACACCTTACTGCATCCATAGTCCCCGGTTCCAAGTCACATAGGATCGATCGTGGAACAAACTTCCCTCCTATAGTGGGAAAGGGTGTTACACTTGTTAATGTACATCAGACTCAGCCGCGTTCTGTGATAAAAAGGTAGCGCGGAAGCTAAGCAAACCTTAACAATGTCGTCTCGCCTTTAATGAAAATGCCTTTAGGGTGGTCAGTTGAAAACAAGAACTAGTACTGTCAGAGATGATGTGTGTTCAGTCTGTGTTTGCCACTGGTATAAGGAGTGAACTTCCGTACGGACCCTAGTTCCTGGGTCGCTGAAATCTGTGGCAGCACTGAGGCCTACGTATCATCCGAAAAAATTCAGTCGCATAAACACGCGTCTACGTTGAATAAGGACATCATAAACGGAAATTCATAGTCCACGATAATAATCGTCCGGCATCCGATATATCGTATCGTATGCTCAGGTTCTTAAAATCATGCATTCGGAATCAGTATATCACTGTCTTTGTGGGTATTTATATAAAACAAGCAGTTGGCAAGCCTGGTTGACTTCTGTGTGGACACTGTACGTTCCACCCGCTTTAGTGGTGAATGAGCCATAAAGGATTGCTAACCTCTGCTCTGTATAGCTGATGGACTGAATTCTCAATCACCGATTCACCTGTGATATCTTGACGAGTGACTTGATCAATAAACGGCTTATCGCTGCAAACTCGTAGGACGGCAGCCCCAGTCCCCCTAATGGATGCCGCGGAATGTCAGACAAAAGTTCAGTATGGTTCATTTGTTGTTGCTTTCATTCTGTGGAAATGATCTCGAATGCTGTTTGTTCTGACAATAATTGTCAGATTTAGAGACGGTTGGAGAATTTTGATATCCAGAATGTAGGAAAAACATATCATATCGAAAAATCACGGTCATCTGTTTCTTTTGAAGTGCCCCATCCCCTAACTACTCTACTTTACGGGTACCATCGCCCCTGGGTAGCTTTCTATGGTTTATTCCTAATTCCATATTCCGCTGGTTGTTTGGATTTTGTAACTTTTGCTGTGTGAGCGAGGAATAACTATTAAAGAATAAAACATAGAATGCCGCTCGCTAACTCAAGACATAGGAAACGGAACCTGGGTGATTTAATGAACACAGGTTAACAGCAGATTTTAGTGACCTCATATTGTTTCAACATTCGGCTTCTCTGCTTCTGACATGATTAATCTGGTTAGTCTACACACTGGACGCGAACTTCGCCTTTATTATAGCTTGTTGATTGGTTAGATGCGATGATAATCAGTATCATGAATTTTCTTGAAACGACTACCCACACCTTTAGGTGTACGAGTTAAGCCATGCAACGATTTCCCAATTTTTGTTAAGTTCAACTTGTGGTTAAAAAGGAGAACTGTGTGGATCTGACAACAAATGTCAGGACAAGTCATGCGGAGTTACTGTCATCGAGGATCAAACACTGACCTCAAAAGATAAGCAGACCTCATGAAGCTGTAGAACAGTGGCGAAATAATACACCTCCGGTGGCTTGCTGCGAAAAACACAAGTCAAATGTACACCTAACTTCCGTTACTTTTATTACACTTCGTGAAATGAAAAGACCAATGAAGGTGAATGTGATTTGCCCTTTCTAACAGTGTCAGTGATGGCTGAACATTTTGTAAGACAGACAAAGAAAGCTGACTAGAGAACAGTTGGGTTTTCTTCATACCAAACCTAAAATGCTTGTACTGCATATTTCTGAGGATAAGGATTTGCTGCTTTTGAGAACGAATAAAACCGATGACAGATGAACTCACCAATCGCTTCGTTATAGTAGACACATATGCGCTCCAACTGTAGATCAGTATCTCCTTGATAAAACCCCGTGTTGGTTATTCCATGTTCGTCAGAAATCACTTCCCAAAACTGTGTGGATAACTCTTGATAAACACATTACTTACTTTTGCTCCCATCTGATTTCCACATTGCCCAATTTGAATATGAACTATTTCTCGCATGATTTGTGGGCGTCTTAGGAGTCCTCTATCAGCAGCGCCTACAGCCTACGTTGGTTGTAAACTATGCCAATAGGTTTGAACTACTGATTTATCGATCGAGTGGCAGAAGCACTGAGTTCTCACCAGGCCCAATGTGGCTATGTGAACTTCAAAACGAGTACGTTAGCTGATGTGAGGCTTAGTTTCGGTGTCCGGTTTGCCTTAATTTTCAGCTGGATAAGAAAAGGAAACGTTGCTCCCCTGCTTCATCCAGCTTCATCTTGTAACCCCACACACATACTGTCGTCATTACTCTGTGTAGGGTTAGGTAGTCCGGCGATCTTTCACTTAGCACATCTGATACATGGTTCTCAAAGAACTGGTCTGGCGAGAAAATTAACCTATGCATCGCTTTACTTATAAGCTGAGGCACACGGAATCACTTCAGAGGATAAGAATTTCAGATTCACATTATATCCTATTCTCCACAAATTCGACCGATTCGACCTCATAAACCTCAGGCAGAATCTGTTTGAGACTGTCCACTGAAGCATGAATTTATGATAGAATGGACTGCGACGTTTGGCTTCATGAACATCGTACAACACAAGATACAACCCAGCTCACTGTCAACGGGGTCCCAACTTATGACCATGGTGCAGGGGATCCCGCATTGAGTCGATTTGTATGACAGTAGTTAGAAAAATGAAAGCGCTTCTAGAGCGGCTTGAGAACCAGCGCCTAGCAGTATATTGATCTAGTCATCGGACAATCTTGACGAGGCCACAAGAGGAACGAGGCAGTTTTGTACATCAGGCTTCTGATCTAAAACACGATTCAATCTTCAACATTTATTTCGACCTTAGCTCTATCTGCCAGAGGAGAGTGTATTTTTCTTTAGAATGCATGTATCTTGATAATACAAAAGGCAAAATGTATCAGTCCTACCAATACAGATAGAAAATAACAGATTGGTTTGTGTTGTTACTCTGATGTTATAAGGCCTGCTCAAGTGGTAAATGCAAATAAAATTGGTCTAACAACAATACCTGTTTTTCCACAGTTCTTTGTCACATACTACTCACCCCACAAGGAAACATCCTATTGAAAAGACGCTGGTCCTTTATTGCAGTCGCCCCCCCCCCAAAGCAAAACTTCGCGAAACTGCACAAAATAAACTTTCTGACTCACAAACGGTTAGGTTTCCTCCATCAAATGGAACAACATAACAGTGGCGTTCTTTTCTGGGGGCCTACCAGTATTGCTACGCCATTATCCCACCAGATTAGTTGGCTTTGTCGGAGATGGCTACATTCAAGTGACATGTAGTGCACCAAAATTTCATTTTGGAACACTTCACACCTGTGCATTAGAGCACGGATTCACCGGAGATGGGAAACCAGATGAACCGACGCACTATCACCGAGTGGTTACCAAGCCAGTGACCGTAAATGCTGGTTTAACACGACGAACCTCAGCACTGATCAGAACTCTTAGCATTATGAACGCGTTATTTTTGTGGCCAGTATCTTAACGTCAATAAACGAATCCAGGTAACAAAGGACACTGATTATTATTGGGTAGTTGATAAATATCGTGTTTTCCTCCTGTGAATCACCGTCTGTTCCAACCTCATCACCTTCGATCCCTATTGCATTTACGACGTGTTCATAATGATCAAGTGCAAGTACCTTGTGATGAACCATCCATCAGGCGCAGACCGGTCCCGTCGGGAAACTAATTCAGCAATGCTCACGATATCAGGCATTTAAAGTGTCAGTCTATCATTAGGTATGGATGACCGGTAAAGGATATTTTCAATGGGATGCTCCCTCTTGAGGAGTAAATTAGCAATTGGAGCATTGAGATGTTTCTTCGGTTGTTTTTGGATTGCAATGGGAAGAAATCCCGCGCTCCGAAAGCTGTTTCTTCGACGAGAGTTTCCCCATGCGGCAAAGCGTTAACCATTCAATAATCATTCAATAATTTGAAAAATCATTCGTTTATGGTAACCCACATGACAGGCCATGACACGACCGTGGATGTGACTCGTGACTTTAGAAAACCTAGATAATCAGTCTCTGAATTTATTGTGGGCAGCGTTTTGTGACCTTACTTTGAAATTTCACTCGACCAGATTCACCGTTGGTTTTGAGCTGCGGCTTTGTGTGTCACTGGTTTTCGGGGTCATGATAACAAAGTAAAGCCAATATCTCTTGAGGTAGTTCTGATAGCTGAAATTCGGTTATTCTCAAACCTTTTCGACGTGAAGAACCAACGTACTGGATGGAAGGTAGCGCTCAGGCAAGTGTCAGCAGTTATGCAACACACTAACAACATTCAGTAGTGTCCATCCATGACTCGGAAAGATTACCGTGGATGAACTGCTGTTTCGAAGAGAACACCAGATCACCCGCCTGTAATGGCACACGAAATCTACCCATCTAATGATATGGAAAACAGGATTCAAATCCTTGCACATGATCAATGTCGAGAGAACCATCCTATCACCGCCCACGCTAGTGGCAGAAATATCATTTACATAAGACAGAAAAGCTATTGACGTCTGGTAGACATGATATTCTACTCATAAGGTTGCTGAAAACTACCCGACATCATAGGCAAGAGATTCAGCTGGGTTCCATTCGAGTCTCACGTTAAAACCAAATTGGCATGCAAATGAGCGTATTTCGCTTATTCACGCTTCCTTTGAGGTTCTTCCTCAAGAGCCATTAACCGCTTACTTTTGGAAAGTAAATCGCGCCTTTTGATTGGATATCGATCCGGTTTCTTTGCAAGCTCATATCCCCAAGCTAACATTACTGCTTCACTGTGATGATGACACACTTGAGTCAAGCCCTTTGTGCCCTTTCCGGTCACTCAAACGGGTTTTAGTCACGTCTCTCTTACGTCACTTAGTCTTACTAGTATTATGAACTTCGCTTCAAAGTTTAACAGTCAGTAGATCTGCAGCTGGGAGCGACAGCACTACGCTTTCCGCATAGACATGCTTCAGTCGGCTCCTCTGACCACGCCATCTTTACCCCCTCCTGAGGCACGCTGGTGGTTTATCAGGATCATATTAAAACAAAGCGACTGTTCATGAAGGGACATTAGTCAGATTGCCACTAGCTTCCTCATCGTCCAAGACCATATTCCTCCAATAAGATACGGGCATTTGACCAGTTAGCTTAAATCTTGTTCCGATCAGCGTTGAATTGTACAGACCATTTATACAAGTTTTGGTTGACTCTCATTCTCGCTTCGTAAGCGTCTTCTGGAGGAAAAGACGCCCATCGTTTCGATGGTCATATGTAGGCTAAGGAGCTAATGACAGAGATTAAAATTTAGACTGGATGATTGAATAAAACCTACGCTACCGGACAATAAGAACTATCATGAGATATGGAATGCACTGAAGAAGATATTCAGCAGTCAGTCAATTGGAAGCACTTTGAAACCGATTAAGAAGCTATCGTTTCAGAAGGGCTTGCCAAAGTCTGTCGCAAACCACTGGTCTTGACAAGCCCGATCGTGAATACACCGGTGACCCCAAAACCATCCACCAACCTTGGCGCTTAGGAAGAGTGTAGTATAGCAGCTTGGAAAAGTTGAGCATAGAAAAGCTAGCGGTCCGACTTCATCTCACTCTGCTCATCAGGGAATGCAAAGACATTCTTACGGAACCACTACAAATCTTGTCCATCACGCTGCTCGAAAAATGCCGATAGCTTGGCGAAGGGGGCGACACGGATAGCGCCAGCGTCCGAAAGAGAAACCACTACGTTTCGACCCACCTCTTTCTTCTAAGCAAAAGAGAAAGAGGACAATTAGATAGAAAGCAAATCACTCCGCCTAACGAATACTCCCACCAATTTGCGTATCAACAGCCGTGCTTCGCACAGGATGCCGCTGCATATCTGATCCATACGGATGCTCTCATCAGACAGTGACCGCTGTGAGACTGTCGTATCTGGGTTAAATGAACGCGTTTGGCAGTTTGACCGAATGCTGCTCCAGCCGTCTGCGGGAGGGAGAAGCGAGCTGTTTCTTAGGCTGATCTAAAGTTAAGCCGTCGGCTGGACACAAATCGCTAGTCAACGTGCCTGAGAACCCACTCCATTTCCTATTGTCGCCGGTTTGAACCAAAGGTCCTTATTACCCCTGCTTCCATTACCGCCGTATCCAGTGCGTACCCATTTATGAGCCCTTCATTTAATATGTCAACGATGTGATCAGTTCTATTAGTTGCAGACCCGAGGAAAAGTTGAACTTGAAAACAAGACTGAGCAAACTGTGAAGTTTCCTCCTTCGACGCCATCACACGCACTGACGTAGTGCATGATTGTCATGTATAGACGATATGAGGACGTATTCTATAACTTACTAATTTTCAATCTGTGATGTTTCACTTCCAAAATTAGAACCATAAGTTCTTGGAAGTAACCTGCCATAGAAATATTCGCTTACATCATTTTGATGATGAATAGCCTTTTCCCATTTAGACCGAGTTTGTTATCCGTACCGTAACGACTGAAAGTATCCCCCACAGTGAACGCATTGATCCCTTGCTCTAATATCACAGGGACCTCTGATTTATTCCAAAGTCTTGAAAGTACGTTTCAAGCTGCAGTTGAATGCCACGAACCGTGCTTCACTTCCTAGTTAGCAAGAAAGACTCTTTCGTAAGAGTTCCCGTGGATACTGAACATCCTCACTGGTGGTTTTGCCTGAGGTCGATCAGAGTTCAAATGCGTGTTATTGTTTGTCCACACGGACAGCTGTTCTTGCCTATATGGCTAGAGGTCCTACCAATAGAACTTCCCTAAAAAATTGTCTGCGGTGGTTCAAAACCAATGAAACAGGAAAAATGTCAGTTTATAGAAAATGAGTAGACCATGATTAAAGTACAATAGTGGATGGAAGTTTGGGTATAGGAAAATTAGTCCACTTATCGAAAATATGACCATGGGAGTTTGGAAAAACAGAGAGTGGATAGGAATTCCGAAGACGATTGCTTCTGTGAAAAACATGGGGAAATAGTTCTGATTGGCAGCGGGGGAACTGAAAGCTGATTTGGGTGGCTAGAGTAACAGAGGTGTGCCAACTGATTGAACGACTTTGGCAGTGTGGTGGAGGAGAGTCCAGTGTAGTATTTAAGATGGTAGTACCGATGAACTGGCAGTAATTGGACCAAACCCCGAAGATGAGAGAGGGTTCACAGATAGTTGGTTAAACCAGGGTTACCGTGATGCTCGATTTTACCTCCGATGCCATTTAAGAGTAGGGGATAAGGACTATGACCACAAATATGACCACCGTCTTCCGTGGTGAGACTGATCCAGGATTTGTACGATGGAAGGGGAAGGAATATCTAGGAAAGTGAGAAACCAAAGCCAGTTTCCTAGAGGTTCGGCTTGCGGTTTACTTCACATCCGAAGACCAGCTAAGGCTGAGCACAAAAGATAAAGCAAGAAGCGATTGACCGCCTGATTAGAGCCGATAAAGATTAGGAGGTTGACGAAAGAACGGTGATGGAAAACTGTATATGTATTTGGGGAATGATACTGGCTGCGTCCGATGAACCCAAAACATGAACGTTTCTAAAACCGGTGCACGGATGGCATGCAAGCAGGGATACACCACAAAAGCGTAAAGGCAGCAAGAACTAACAGGATTAGTGTGAGAACTGACCTTGTGAATTCGAGCTAGCTCAGCGGTTAAGGCGCGAGCTTACTGACCCGGAATACCGTGGTTCGAACCCAACCCCAGCATCTCGACTGCTGATAACTGGGTTCTTAGTAAACTTGCAGTATCAAATCCCTCGTGTCTCCTTCTAGTTGCAGCTAGGCACCGAGGGTGGTACAGCTGGGCGATTACTATTACCACTTTGTGAATCCGGGAAAGGACAAGTACCAACAATATACAAACGAGCCCGGTGGTTTGCCAGGAAGCTTCCAATCCGGTTCACGAGGACAGGAATTTTGGCAATAAGGTCACTATACCATCAATCGAAAGAAAACCTTTAAGACCTACCAATTCCGTTTTTGCTAAATGAGTACAAGACATGTGACGATACATAGGTCCGCAGCCGCCTGAATCCATATTGGCGACATCTGGGAAGAAAACTATTTTTCAAACCATCGTCATAGGCATAAAAGCTGCTGATGGGTCAAGTGCATTTCTGGTGAACAGTGTGGTGTATAAATGATTCGGATGTGGATGCATTTAGTTAGTCCAAGTGACATTTACCCATCAGGACATATGAAAACAGTAGGAACTGGGGTATATTTATTTACATAGTACAATGATTCTTGTAGTCAGGCTTCCAAAAATACAAAAGCTAGTGGTGAAAGATAATCACACGAGTATCACAGGAAGGCAGTCAGACTGACAGGTTTCGCCATAAAACGACACAAGTTCCGCGTTTTCTGAACACAAAAGCACTGAACAGATTGCAATAAGTTTGCGCAGCTGAGGCACCAGTTATGATTCAGATGAGTCACGGCTTAATAGGTACTGCGGCCGTTGTAGTAGGCGTCTCTTGAACAGTGAACGAAAGGAGTGGACATACTCCAGAACTGGCTCGCTCTGCAAGCAACTCAGAGACGCGCCTATCGAAGCGCGCAGCTGCTGACAGTTTCTCCGGCAAAATAGGGGTTTTGGGTGTATAAAACGGCGAACTGACGAGGTCCACATAAGCAGAGTGCAGACACTGGAAAAGGTTACGAATTTCCGAGTCTTGATGTTGCAACGATGGTGAACTACCACCAGCCGATTGACTAGTTGAGTTGGGAGGGGAAGTGGGCGACTCCAGAACGACAATAAACTGGAATGGGGAACGAGAGAACAATCAGAATGCACAATGAGCCAGCTGACTTTTCAAGTACTGTGACGACGCAAATGAATGCTGGAAGTAGCCACTGAAAGGAAATCGGGACCAACTAATGCTACTGCTTTTCCTAACCAACGTAGCATTCAGGCATTTCAGAGTGAAGTCATTCGGTAGGCTGTAGATGATACCCCATACTTGTTATCTCAATTTAATGGAAATAGATCACAAAAAGTCATTTTACGCGCAGCGATCCATGAGAAGGTATATAGTCAGTTAAGGAACAGGTGACAATGACTATGGTACTGGGTAAATCAGTGCTCAAAGGCCATAGTGATCTGAAAAGAAAGATGTTCGACTACGTCCCTGATGATGGAAGTGGCTCCCGAGATACTGCAGAGGCTGAAGTGCGAGGTACGTGGCTCGAAACCACACATGATTCTGAAGGGATGTTCCTAGACAGGGGACAGTTACAGAATGTGGGCTAGTAGCATCGCCTTATGTGAAACATGAAACTCAAAAGGTTCATATTCCTGGAGTAACTAAGTCAATTTTTTAAGTATAAAAAGCACCTGCAAACTTAAGGAGTTCACACAGGTGAAAACTCACTTTTATTTGAGTGTTAGTCACGTAGCCATAAAGGCGATGGTCTTCCATTGGATAAAGAAGCCCTAAATACGGCTCTGTATGTTCATGTCCACCGCCTGAATAAGTGGCTCGCTTGGCCAGTTTATCCCCCACCACGTCGAGAGCGGCATGAACTTTGAAATGGTAGAACAAAGGATCCGGACATTCTGCTGTGCGCAAATACAAGAGCTGATTTGAATCCGAGATAACTGCTACGCAGGCAGCCATAATGGAGTGCAAACTGTTTGGCCAGATTTGCCACTAAAACCTGGAGAAAAGCAAACAGAAAGTTCGCAAACAGACCGATACTCAGCGAATAAAGCGTTTACTTTGGTCGGCGGTCAGATCCCGAAAGATGCCATCAAGTTGCTAGCTTATCCTAAGGCACCAAGAAGGTCTGGACGACTTAAAAAAACGCATCAGCATGTGGTGTGGAATAGTTTAAAAATTTAGATAGAAACGAAGGCGTTGAATATGACATTTTAGTCCCAGTGTTTCGCTTGCCATTTATTTTTAACTGGGGGGCTTTAAAATCGAATGAACATATTGTAAACAAACCATCTCTATCATCACCATAACCACTGACATCATCTGCAACAACCTTTCGGTGCCTAGCTGCCATGCCACCCGAAAGAAGCCCGAAAGTCAGGCTCCCCAAGCGTAGACAGAAGTTGAGATGCAAAGGTCGGTTTTGTACCACGGACCACCCGGTAAATTCAATCCAACTCAATTTATCAGCTATAAACCGTGTGCCATAGGCATGTTGGTTCCAGCTGCTACAGTTTCAATCACCGGAAAATGGGAGAGTGGAACATACAACCAAGCTTTGGAGGCAGAGACATGTTCAGTTTGTTCAGAAATGGGGTAGCTACGCATTGGAGGTGATAGCTTTAATGCATGAGCGCCACTGACTGTGCGATTAGGTCACTTCGGCCACTGGTGATTTGAGTCCCGGGGTCCCCATCCAATGAGGCAGCAGTTGCTCACCCGACCGAGTTTACTGGTTATTGTTTTCGTACTTTGTTGCTAGGTCATAAACTGTCCACCCCTCGGTCGCTTCCATTTAGCACAAGGCTGGGCGAAAATAGCTCTGTGAGGCAGACGATCTTATGGCATGCGGAGTCCATGTCCTAACCAGCGCAACCTATGAAGCGTAATTCATCTATCGCGGGAGAGCTCCTTCTTCCCAAGACCGGTTAGCGTATTTCTAAATTACTAATCCGATGTTCCCACCAGACCTGACCAATACTGCGGGGATACCGAGAATCAAATACTGACATCTTCCGTAGGTCCTCGGCACATAGGGGCCACGTCTCTGATCCATAAAACAGTACGAATCGCACCACCGCAGTGCAAACTCTTCCCTTGACAGACAAGCTGACGTCACGTCGACACCGTAGGTGTCGGAGGCTGGCAATTCGATAAATTATCAAATCTCTAGCCAGTCCACCGGAACTTATCTACCACGTCGCCTAACTCACCTGCAAGCATGAGGTGTGGGTTTGGTCCCACCCAGTCTTGTAGTAGCACTCTACATTTTACAGGCGTGAACCGCATGCCAAACGGTGCGGCAGAGCTTCATACTCAATGTCCGTGAGGAAACGTCCCGGGAGCATTTCGACTCCAGAGGTTTCAGAAACAGACAGAGAAATTTCAAGCAGCATATCGGTAACAAAGTTGAAGAGGAAAGGGGAAAGAAGACGGCCTTGTTTTACACCACTGGACGTGGTGAACTCAGGCGGAAGCTTCCCGCATACTCGTATGCGCCCGTAGGAGTTCGCATACAGTGCACTCACAAGGGAGAGAAATTTGGAAGGGATACCTTTGATCGCCAGACACTTCCAACGTTGCTGACGAATAAAAAGCACCTCTCAAATCCAGAAAAACGACTAACGTGGGACGTATGAAGGAGTGGCGCTGTTCGAGAATATATCTTAAGGTAAAGATATGGTCGATGCATCCTCGACCAGGGCGGAACCCAAATTGATTCTCACGAACCTGTCTCTCCCGATAATCCATTAACCTTTGCATAATAATGCCAGAGAGCATCTTAGATGCGACGGATACTAGGCTGACACCATGATGGTTTTCACATGACGTTCTTGCTCCCTTTATGAAAAGTGTGATGACGGTTGAGGAGCTCCATTCGGCTGATATTCTGTTTTTGTTCCAAATCTTCTGCAGTTTGGTCCTCATACTGTTCACCAGGACATCGTCATCTCCTTTGAAGAGCCCCGGGTGTAGCCCATCTGGGCCAGGTGCCTTGTAGCGCTTCAGGATTGAAAGCTCACGATGGATTTCGGCTGATGATGGTGGGTTGGTGTCAATGTTCCATTTGGGCAGCTTGCTTTTTCCAGCGGTTGTGTTGAAGAGGACCAGGTGAACTGCTTTTGGAAGACGGCGATTGAGGTGGTAAACTGCTGTTCCATCTTTTTCGCATATTGTCTCACTGATACCAGTCTTCCTTTGACCTGTTGATCGGGTCAGTTGAAACAGGGCGCAGTTGTTGTCTGCAGCGAAAGCCTTCTCCATCTCCTGGGCCTTGAAATCCACCATCATTCTTTAAGCTCCTAATTATCCGAGGTTTGAGGAATCTGCGTACGCCACCATAGTCTGGTATGGCCTTTCTGGCAGCAATAAGATCTGGTGATCTTGAAGATTTCCAGTGTCCATTGAGTCGAGTCAGATAGGCTGGACAGACAGTTCTGAAAGCAGAGAACGTTGCTTCTTTAACTCGCTTCCATTCATCCTTCAAGCAATTTTCGTCGGATGACTACATGACGTTCTTGCTCCCTTTATGAAAAGTGTGATGACGGTTGAGGAGCTCCATTCGGCTGATATTCTGTTTTTGTTCCAAATCTTCTGCAGTTTGGTCCTCATACTGTTCACCAGGACATCGTCATCTCCTTTGAAGAGCCCCGGGTGTAGCCCATCTGGGCCAGGTGCCTTGTAGCGCTTCAGGATTGAAAGCTCACGATGGATTTCGGCTGATGATGGTGGGTTGGTGTCAATGTTCCATTTGGGCAGCTTGCTTTTTCCAGCGGTTGTGTTGAAGAGGACCAGGTGAACTGCTTTTGGAAGACGGCGATTGAGGTGGTAAACTGCTGTTCCATCTTTTTCGCATATTGTCTCACTGATACCAGTCTTCCTTTGACCTGTTGATCGGGTCAGTTGAAACAGGGCGCAGTTGTTGTCTGCAGCGAAAGCCTTCTCCATCTCCTGGGCCTTGAAATCCACCATCATTCTTTAAGCTCCTAATTATCCGAGGTTTGAGGAATCTGCGTACGCCACCATAGTCTGGTATGGCCTTTCTGGCAGCAATAAGATCTGGTGATCTTGAAGATTTCCAGTGTCCATTGAGTCGAGTCAGATAGGCTGGACAGACAGTTCTGAAAGCAGAGAACGTTGCTTCTTTAACTCGCTTCCATTCATCCTTCAAGCAATTTTCGTCGTCCGGATGACTATGCGTTCCCAGTAGCTTTCGAGCCAGATCAGTTTGATACTTTTCAGCTATTGAAACTTGTCAAAGTTGATGGGGGCGAGATAGCTCAGTGGTTAGAGCGCGAATTCACTGACTGGAAGGTTCGTGGTTCGAGCCCGACATCTGCCTCTCGACTTTCCCTGTCTAGGCTTGGGCAACTTGGCAGTGTCCCAGTCCTCGTGCTTTCTTCTGGTGGCATGGCAGTTAGGCACCGAAAAGGTGTTACAGCTGAACGATTTTTTTCAAAGTGGATGAACAGAGCTGCCTTCTTTCGGTACGCGTAGTGCTGGCGGAGAGCGAAGTGCTAAGCGGGGCCTCACGATGGCGTGACCAGAGTCAAGCTGCGTGCCCCCAGAAGGAACGACAATCTTTAACTGAGGCTCTCCATCAGTAACTGATAGCCATATGGTTTAATTGAGTCCATGACTGTCTTGTGGTAGGTGGTCTCCAAGTAACTCGGTGTGTGCGTCTGTGTTGGCCAGGAACAGACGATTATCTGCACACAACTGAGGAAGCTACTCTACATTGTCCGTACGCTCAGCATCGACTCCAAACCAACCACCGAACTGTGCTTGTTCGGGACTTAGTCGTCCAACTTGGCATTCATTTCACCCGCCAGGATTACGATACCCGTCCTTCTTACCGACCGAAGCAGTCGTGACAAATCTTGATAAAACCCGTCCTTCTCAGTCTCAGAAGTGCTATCTGTTGGGGCGTATGCTGATACGACGGACACCATTTACCACATCGACCTGCGTTAATCTTAATGGAGCCAGACAACCGCACACCGCAAAAGCCAATTGTTTACTGGGATCCAGTTCGGTAAGGCACTTTCAGCCTTGGGGCTGAGTACAACTCCCACACCGTAAATACCACGAGCAATTGCGTCAGGATCAACGGATGCCCGAAGAGTGAAACGTGGAACATCTGGGCACGTCCTAAGGGGCTTGAAGAGCACGACCGAAGTGGAGTCTTGTATGCGTGTTTCGGAGAAACAATATATATCGGTAGAGAGGGAAAGTAAGGTTTCAGCAAGGGATGCCTGTTGCCCAATTTTACATGGAGTACGGACATTGAATGCTGAAATGTGTGTCAGATCTTTTGAGATAAGTAGGTGATTATTTTTGTTCATTTTTCTGGGCGATAGTTGAGACACGGAAAAGTGGCTGGGGTTGGCAGATGGTTCGACTGTACTGCACTGTACGATGGGTTGGAAGGGAATGAGGGGGAAGGCTGGTGAGCGAAGAGCTGAAAGGGCGAATGGTACTTCCCGGCTGCCCAGGCCGAAGAAGGGGGTTTAGTTGAGATACCCCACCTTGAACCTTTGACTCAAAAGTCTGACCCACAATGCAGTGGGACCATGTAGGACTTTGTTTGGGGGCCCTGTACCTAGCCTGTGACTGAAAAGTGTGCACCACGAGACAGTGTTGTTAGGGGTTTTCCTTGGAGGAACCTTCCTAGAGTCAATGACTCAATATTCTGACTTACTTGGCCGTAGGATACCAGCCTGGCCGAGGGCGCACGGAGTAGGGCATTACTGTCTCATTCCTGATGCGGCTGCGCACAGCAGGTGCCTTCTGAGAAGCACCGGACTCTCTGGTTTTAAAGGCACTTCGACCGTATTGGATAATGCGCCGGGGATCACGGCCAACAGTTGGGCGATCGGAGTGTGCGGTTTTGGGGGCTGACCTCTTCTAACCCATCCTTCCTCGGGGGAAGACAGTATCGCTGCTTCCATAAATATGGAAATGCTGGTCGCCTGGGGGAAACACCTTACTGT